TTTCTGCTTTTAACTCCCCCTCCCCCCTTTTTTTTAATTGTTGGGATTTTCTTGTTATATACAATTCTGGTTTACATTAGGACCTGCTCTAAATTTGTCTACACCATCTACAGATCCCTATTTGTATTTGGGTTTTTGAACATTAGTACCTCTTCATTAGCAGATGTGCAATTTCCATTCCACAAGCAATTAGTCATTGTTGCTAACAAATTCCAGGAAGCGGGGTACAAGATACTCTCCAGCTGCACTGTTTTTTTGGAACTCTTATGTTCTGCGTCACCCAAATGCAACATCCGGATAACACCTATGAACATCATACTACTGTATAAGGTAACCCTGCAATGTTTTTAGTGGTCTAAATCCGGATCCCCTAGCCTACTTCTAATACACCTGGTACTAGATGTAATATTCCCATTTCTAATAAACAATCCTATCAAAGAGTGGGCACCTGCGGACCGTGATCTGTATAGTGAACTATGGTTCCTTTGTTATGATTAAAAATTCATAGGCTTCTTGCTACTCAGCACTTTCACTGCTTCCCCTCCCACACCATTACCCCTTAACTGCTATTTTCCCTCTCCTTACCCTTCCTTCCCTGTCTTTCCTACACCTTTTCTCCCACCCCCAACCCTCCCTCCTTTTTCTTTCTCTTTTCTCCCTGGTCTTACTCTAGTAGATAATGTATTTTAGTTTTTATATTTGTTTATTAACTTGCTGTAGTTTACAGATTTGAATGAGCATGATGCCGTTCCACACCTCCCTGGGACCTTGTTACTACTTTCTGTTTTGCATTCCCAAACTCTAATTTACAGGTCACCTGATGTTGCTCACATTCTACCACTACAATCCCTAGCTGAGAACCATGGGCACATGGCTGCCCATTCCGGCACTGATAAGTATAAATGCATCTAATTTTCTATACTACTTGACTGTGGTAATACCATCAGTGGCGTAACTACCGCCATAGCGACCCACGCGGTCGCTATGGGGCCCGGGGCAGAGGGAGGCCCGGTCAGGAGCGGGCTAAGGCACTTTTTTTTCTTAGTACCGCAGCTGCACAGACCTTATCAAGCAACTGTTGTGTGCCTGCAGCCACTAGGCGGAGTGATCTTTTCGGCTGTGCCTTCGGTTCTGACATCAGAGCCAGCAGAAGAAATACACGGAGAACTTTCAACACAGTGAGTAGAGATCGGTTAGTAAGCTGTCTGTCCTCATGCATTTCCTCCCTCTATCTCTCAGAGATAACAGATGTGACAGTTTACTGATTAACCTCTGCCCAGCTGCACTATCCTCTTGTCACCTTTCATTCTCTCATGGTGTCATAAAAGTTCTCTAGACGTCCGGTGTTGAGCCTACACTGCCCCCATGTCTGTGCACTCATTATTTCTGCTGAACTTTGCTTCAACTCTATAGATGAATCTCTGCTGGAGTCTCATCCCATGCTCCGCTGTGACTAGTCTTGTCATGGCCATCCATATCAATCAGCACAGTTCCTCTACAGTCATTCTTCTCTCCATCTGCATTGTCACCGGCTCTCTTCTGTGACATTTTATCTCTTATATTTATATTTTTATATTCTTTTATATCAGGTTCATCCGGACATTGCATTGCTCCCCCACATCTCTTCATCTTCATGCTGACACTGCTCTGCCAAAAAACGATTCTATTTTGTTTTCCAATTAAAGGACTTTTTCAAAATGTGTGGTTTCTTTATTTACTTTTACTTTACAAGTACCCCTTACTCATTCAAAAGGGGGGTGGTATCTGGGTGCCCCATTATTTAAATGCAAATAAGCCCCCCTGCCCACAGACCCCCACAGCCACCAGGTCAGGGTTGTGGGGAAGAGGCCCTTGTTCCCATCGGCATGGGGACACCCCCCCCCATCCCGAGGGCACGTGGCCTGGCATGGTGCAGGGAGAGGGGGGCGCTCAATCCTGCCCTGCAGGCCCTATGATTGGATCAAGGGTCTGGTAGGAATTTTCAGCGACCTAAGGCATACGGTAGAATAAAACTTTCCCCAAATGGCCAGGTCAGTATGCCTTACGTCGGTTGCATTTACAGTTCTGCTATACTTAAAAGTATATGTATAAAAGTATAAAAGTATATGTTTTGCTATGGGGCCCTGTGATTTCTAGTTACGCCCCTGAATACCATTCATATGACACTTTGGCTCCCAGACCCGAATGGCACTCGGGAGCTCACTAATTGCATTCGGGAGCTCACGAATTGCAATCGCGAGCTCCCAAATGCTATTGTGTTATTTGACAGATCAGAATGTCAAATGGGCGGAACAAGCCCCGTGTCTTTGTCGGGTTCCCACGGGTTGTCGGGCGTTAAGACTTTTTTATTTGAGCGAGTCGGCTGGCATCGTTAATCGTGATTGATGCTGGATTACATCAATGGATCCATTTTTTTTTTAAATAAAGGACTTATCAAAAAACGATTCTATTTTGTTTTCCAATTAAAGGACTTTTTCAAAATGTGTGGTTTCTTTATTTACTAAATAAATGTAGTTCCTAACTAAATTCTGTATTTACATCTTGCTGCCGGTGGCTAGATTCCGCAGTCAGCAGCAGAATGTAAACAATGGGGAGTAGTCAGTCTGCTATTGGATATTTCAAATTGCACCTGCCCACTGAGTGAACCTGAGAGAGAACCGAGGGGGAATGCTTGAGAGTCACTATTAACTCTCAAGCAACCAGAAACTACAGTTATCCAGCATCTACCAATCCCATGGGTGCTGGATAACTGGGAGTTTACTGTACCATTTCTGTGCTTGCAAATAACAAAAAGCTACATAGTGGAATCAAGTCCCTGAAAGATGTTTCTGACTTACAAGCTAACCTAAATTAACGGTTTGATTGGGTAGTGACTTGAAAAATAAGGCTTAATGTTGATAAATGTAAGGAGCCAATTACATAATATGTTGCATAAACTCTTACCCTGCCAGCGACCTAAGGCATACGGTAGAATAAAACTTTCCCCAAATGGCCAGGTCAGTATGCCTTACGTCGGTGGCATTTACAGTTCTGCTATAAGCTCATGGTCGCTTTAGCGACCATGAACTTGTATCAGAACTGTTCCCTGGACAGTCCCCATTAAATTAATAGCTGTCATCAGCGGATCCGAATAGTAATGGCTGGCGGGGGGTGTGGAGGAGCGAACCACTCGATCACGATTAGCAAGCCGCTCAATCACGATGAGCGAGCCGCTCAATCATGATAAGCGAGCGTCATGAGAGAGCAGCCCAGCGGGGAGGAGAGAGGAGCCGCTGTCATCCTGCCAGTTTCAGGATGACAGCGGCTGTGCGCGTGGCCGAGCGGAGGATCGGCAAATATCAGTGATATTGATCCTCTGTGTGAAGGACAAACACTGGAGTGATCATCTGATCACTCCAATGTCTGTAATATCTGGGGACACATAGTACTATGTGTCCCCAGTTATGAATGAACATGAAGTGATTTACATCACTTCCTGTTCATTCATACATTTCTGAATGGGGAGTAGCACTCAGTACAGAGGTTTCTCCCCATTCAGAAACTTGTTGATAGTAAATATTTTACTATCCAGAGTTTCTGAATGAATGGAAAGCCTCGTAATTAGTGCTTTCCATGCATTTAGTGCTGAGGCTGCAGAAAAAGAAATTGAGGACTCTGCGTACCCAATTTCTTTTTCTATTTCAAAAGGGAAATGTCAGGGGTCTGTTAGCCCCCCCAACAGTAAAAAAAGCAAAAACGCTTTTTAACATAAGTCGCTTATTTACAGTTTTGCATTGTTTAATTTTTGTACCTTTTCGCAAAAAGGCACAATTTAAAATGTGAAAATATTTGTTATTTATTAACTCAATACAGTTTTATCTTTTAGATTTAGTCAGAAAAGTATTTTTTTTGTGTACTGATACTGATTTTAGTGTGCTTTATCAATTGATTGATGTATTTTTATCGGTTTAATATTAATTTGAGAAACATTTGCGCAATTATCGCAGGGCCTACAAATTTAGTAGCACCATCTTTTTATTCTACGGGCCTGTGCTTTCAGAAAATATATGGTTTGGAGAGTCTTTTACAAACGCTAGCAACGCAGCAGATGAAGATCAAATCAATGGAAAAAATTGCAAAAGTGGTGTGGCCAGCTGAGGTGCAAAATGTTCCGTAGTGCTCGGCAGCGAAAGGGTTAATGCAAATGCATTACTATGTGTATACTATGTGCATGCTGTATTATGGCAACAATTATTACCAAAAAGGATATGTACCTTATTTTGGTTTTTTTTGCTTGTAAAGTAAGCAATCAGCAAATCATCAATAAATAAAGGTGTTACCTTCTCCAAGTGGCAATTGTGCAATAGAGGGTTTGGCCCCAGCAGCTATGATACTGTATGCAGCAATGAAAACAAATGCAATCTGATCTGGTAAGCATGTACGAGGTGAATGTGCTTTCTAACTATGGCAAACAACAAGGCGGCCTAAAGTATAGCGAATAGCACCAAATGATCAGCAAATGACCACCTCTTTTTAACATAAGTCGCTTATTTACAGTTTTGCGTTCCTTAATTTTTGTACCTTTTTGCAAAAAGGCACAATTTAAAATTTGAAAATATTTGTTATTTATTAACTCAATACAGTTTTATCTTTTAGATATCTTTTGTGCCAATTAGTTGGAAAGCGTGCTGGGGAATCAGTGACGTAACAACCGCCATATCGACCCACGCGGTCGATATGAGGCCCAGGGCAGAGGGGGGCCCGGTCGGGATGCCGGGGCTTAGCAGCTGAGAAGGCTTGGTGGAGGTGACTGTAGAGGAGGAGGCCAGGGCCCGGTGGCAGTGCTAGAGAAGGCTGGGGCCCGGCCACAGCAGCGCTGAAGTGGGCCGGGCAAAGTTGGCTGCTCTGGTTGCCTAGTTACCCGATCTGACGGCACGCATGCTCTCACATACAGGGGTATCTGCTGTAATAGCTTCCAGCTAGTGCCCCTTGTGCCCGCACGACGCATACGCTAGTGGGTGGGCTGCGCTAGTAGGCGGGTTGTGCAATGTGTGAAGGAGTATGACACCGTCTGCGAGGGGGAAGCGTCCTGTGGTCAGGTCAACTTGTGGTGGCTTTTCTACTTTCTCCAATGGCTGTGACAGCGGTGTGACAGCGGTGGCCTTCTCATTCATCAGTCTCTCTGGATATTTCTTCTTCTTACTCCCTTTGCCAGCATGTTATTGTTTACATCAATGTGTTGACTCTGTTTTACCATGTTTATTTGACATGTAATGGCGGGATTATGATGTCATAATGACGGGGGAGTGGTTTCTTTTTCATTTCTTGTTCAGTATGTCTATATAATGATGGTAATGTTATGTCTGCACTGTCATCCATGAGTCTGACGAAGAAGACTCTACATGGCTCCGAAAGTGCTTGCTATTGAGAGACAGCGTAAATAAATTGACATTTTTTGCTTGAATAATTGGGCTGGTGTGCTGGTGACATATTTCTACGGTCAGTTTGTTAGCGGTGCAATCCGCAGTAATTCCAAGCATCCATCTTTTAACTATGCGGGAATTGCGGTAAGGGGTACAGCAAGAATCTTTTATATTGGTACTTGCAGGGTCTCAAGTGGGCTCTTTGGGGTCACTCTCAGTTGGGCTCTGTAGGATCTCAGGTGGGCACATCGGGGTCTCAGGTGTGCAGAGTCTCCGGTGGGCTGTGCAGGGTCTATAGTATGTGTGAGGTCTCAGGTGGGCTCTCCACGATCTCAAGTGGGCAATGTGGGGGTCCATGGTGGGCTGTGTTGGGTCTCTGGTATGTGCGGGGTCTCAGGTGGGCTGTATGGGGTCTCTGGTGCCCTGTGCTGGGTCTCTGGTGGGCTCTACAGGTTCTCTGGTGGGCTGTGCGGGGTCTATGGTGGGCTTTGCAGCAGTAAAGGGCCGGAGTTATCTCCTCTTCAGCGCTGACGTCAGAGCCAGCAGGAGCAGAGCTGAAGAGAAGGAGATGGAGACGGCGCAGGCACGGGAATGTATTCTGGAGGTGGGTACTTTTTTTTTGGTGGGGGGGGGGCAGTTTGGGGGCCCCATACAAAATTTTGCTATGGTGTCCTGTGATTTCTAGTTACACCCCTGTGGGGAATGTTTACATTGACATCTAGTGATGTCAATAAATAAAGGTGTTACCGTCTCCAAGTGGCAATTGTGCAATAGAGGATTTGGCCCCAGCAGCTATGACAGCTATGATATTGCTGTATGCAGCAATGAAAGCAATGCATTGCAAAGCATATGCATTCATTGGAAAACATTGCACCAGATCAAACGATTCATATTTGTTATGTTTTATATTTTTTTTTGAGGTCATCATACACACCTTGTCCACTACTTTCTGATATCACAACATGTTGTAAGGAGGTTGATTTTGACTTCCTAAATGAACTAAAATCTGTAACATCTTCATATATGTCTTGCTTTTCTCTAGAATGAAATAAAATAATGGTTAGTAGATGCATTTTTCACTGCAAACCAAAAGTTAAAACAGTAATTGAACTAACCCATATATCTAAATACGCACTTATGCTAAGGCCATAATTAAAGCATGTGAGTCAAATGGCTGGAGTATAGTATATGCTGACATGAGTTCCTAACTCATAGTATTGCAACTTAAAGTGTAACTTAAATGACATCTTACCTGATGCTGTTTCAATTCAATTCATACTTCCAGCAGCCATTTACTAATTCCTAAATGGGAGGGTCTTCTTGATATATCAACACAATCAGTCCCAGTGTTGTGGGGCAATCTCATAAACAGAATATGATATTTCTGGACAGTTTTTAAAACAAGAAATCCATGTTTGATTTATTTCCCCCAGTATTAACAGCAATTTATTGGCCCTTAGCTCTCCACCATCATAATTGTGTTGGCTTACTACTTCCCTACTTAAAGATGTGACAATCCAGGTCAACCAGATGCTGAGAGAACAGTTTGCAATGTCATAGAGAGTGTGTCCCCCATACTAATGGGAGGTAAACAAATAAGTTGTATGTGGCACATATTTTCAGCATGGTGCCAGACTTTATCAACATAAGATCAAAATTAAGTGTTCTAGGTAAAGGCACATTCCACATGGCCACATGGAGGTGACAATCAGCAAAGGTGAGCTTTACCAGCACCTTCTGTTTAAAGTAAAGTATGTCATCACTAGATGTCAATGTAAACATTCCCCAGCACGCTTTCCAACTAATTAGCACAAAAAGCCTATTTAAACTATTACAGAATTTTAGGTGAGCAACAGAGGTTTTTGTTGCATAGGCGTTTCCATTAACTGCATAATATTTGTAGTATTGTCTGCCTTGATATTGTGAATGACTTCCTCTCTGTATTTATGACAACTAAAGTCAAGCTCAAAATTTTATTTTTAGCAAATGTTGGCTGAGCTATCATATCCCCCTTAAAACACACTCTTAAGGTGCCCATACACCTTACTATTATCTGCAGATTTTCTGTGGTCAGATGGAAAAAGTGCAACAGATTGGCCCAGATTACTCCATCCACACAGTTAAGTGTAGATGGAGGAATCTGTTGCACCTTTTCCATCTGACCACAGAAAATCTGCAGATAATTGTAAGGTGTATGGCCAGCTTTAGCATAGGGGCAAAGTCCTAGTCAGGTCTGATTAAATAAACTTAAATTAGGTGTGCACTGAAGTTATCCATGCTCACTACATCCAATCATAGGTAAGAGAAACTGTTTTGCCTTTTTTTTTGCCCTTGCACAATTCGATACATACAGTATCACCACTTCCTAAACGTTGTAAAAAAAAAAGTATGCAATATGAACTGAAATTTCCAGGAGTTGCTGTTTCAGGAAGCCCTAGAGGAAGTGCCCTCTCTGTTACTGTGACTTTTCAGAGATTTCAGCTTTTGGGATTTTTTTTTCTTAAGACGCTATAGAAATCTTTACACAGCAGGTTGAGCAGTTATGATCTGTGGAATACAGCCGATGACTTAGACCATATGGATTGTTGGAGAGGCCTCTGATTAGTTTTAAAACTGCAGTGTTTAGGTACAAATTCCTCCTTGTGTTTTTATTCTGAAGTAAAATTAGGAAAAACCTATATAATTTCTTCCTAGATTTTTGAAATCCCCGAAAATCTGGGGTCATCTTATACGCGGGGTATACAATGTATACCCCGCGTATAAGACGCCCGCTGGATGTGCGGTAATACTGTATGTACAGTAGCTTCGGCTACATACAGTATACCGAGCTGAGCCAACCACGGTAAGCGATGTACACAACCTCTGCCAATCCAAGCAGGCTTTGTATTCATTAATAGAATACATCGCTCGCCGTGATTGGCTCAGCGCGGTATACTGTATGTAGCCAAAGCTACCGTACATACAGTATTACCGCACATCCATCCATGATGTTTTTAAATGGTACTGCCTCGGAAGTGGGGTAGTCTTATATGACGAGTATAGCCCAAAACCTATGTTTTAAGTGGAAAATTAGGGGGTCATCTTATACACCCAGTTGCCTTATACGCCGGCAAATACGGTAATATGACAGTATATTCTGGGGAGTCAAAGTACAAATAACAAAATATACTGTGGGATTTGTTCCATATTTCGTATTTACCAAAAGCTATGTAAAATAAATTAAGAAAAGATACTTTTTGACTTACCTGTAAAATAATTTTCTTAGAATATAGAACAGGACATGGGATCAATCCCAACCATGGGTTATATAGCCACTTTAAGATGATTTGGACGGTGGCAAAAAAACTTCAAGAACAGAAGAAATAGGAGGCTATTTTCAGAAATAATCAGTTTTGTAGCAAGCAATAGTGAGATTGTAAGAAACAGAGTGGAGGAAACTGTGTCCTGTACTGTACTCCAAATAAAGAATTTTACAGGTAAGTCAAAAATCACTGCTTTTTGTCCCAACCATAGGATGTCCAAAAGCAGTCTGAGAGGTGGGCAACATAGCAACCAACTCAGAGAGGAGCATGAAGCACCTTAGACCCAAAACTGGCATCAGATAAGGTCTGAACATCCACCTGGTAAAATGTAACAAATGTGTGAAAGGAAGACCAGGTGGCAGCCATATCTGCAATCCCAG